TGAACCTTAGGTATTTTATATACAGGAGACTTCGGCATTTTTGAAAGCTTTTAGTAGGGCGTACCATAAAAAGAGTTTTAAAATATTAATAGAAACAATTGGAACTTATAAGTTTTCATCCTATTTCCTATTTAATCGTAATGCTCGTGAATGCTTATTCAGGAAATAAAAGGCAAATCAACTGCGATAATATAATATCCGGAACTAAATTTGGCTATTATAATAATATTGTTTTTGTTATCTATATGAATAAATAAGTGCAGTGGAAATTTAATTCAGTTGACCCAAACTAAGTGAAACGTTGTCAAATTCCAAGACCAATAATTCCAAGACCAATAGTTCCAAGACCATTAACGATGGGATTTTGGCAAGACGGCTGTATGGTCAGCCAAAAATTCAATTAATTAAAAATAATAAAATTTTGTTGTTGTAATTCACTACTGTTGGAAACTCTCTATTGAATTCTCAACTCTATTTCAGTTATGAATAAAAGATCGTGTTCTTAAATTTTATATATAATAAAACTATATTATACTATGTAATATGTACAACTAATATTTATTTATTTATTTAATTTTTTGTGGGAAATTTGATTTCATGTCTTCTATGTCTCAAGACGAGTTCCGACTAGGAAACTTATTCTTTACCTTCATTCATTATTGTTGCATATTAATAATATGTAAGTAAATAAATATACCTAGATGTTAAAGGAACTCTCAAACCTGAATTATTTCTGGTGTAAGCACAAAGCACAAGGCAAATTTCAAAAGGGGAAGTACTGACTTAATATTGTTTCAATTAAATGTTGTTCAAATGCCATTTTAACTGATAAATGTTTAAATTGCAATATACAAGATAACCAAAAATAAAACCAACCAAAACATATCATTCAAGAATTTCCATGCTATTTCTAGAGGTCCCAATAAGGATTTAAATTGACTGCGTAACTAAAAGTAGAAGTCTGAAACACGAGTACTTGCGTTCAATAAATATGGTTGTTTGGTCTTGTGTGGTTCCTTTTGTAAGGTTACTAGATTTCATCAAAGTCACTTTAAACGAGAAATGCTACCAATTTGATGCCTTTGTGTTACGATATGTACGACGTATTTTATCTTGACTCCTATTTTGTAATTTGTTGCTTTTTTCTTTTTCTTAATATTTTACTCCTGTCATATTTCAGTACAATAGAATAGCAAAGTCCAATGAGCAAATTTACTTCTAATAAAATTCCATTGCAGCTGAAGGCGTACAATTCTATAGCAGCTTATGCCTTACGTTGCTTATAGGCTCACATTCTATTCAAAGCAAACAATAGCGAAAATGTCAAGTATAATAATGGCGAAGGCAATAGCATATAGAAAAAAGGACGAATCTTCCTTTGTGAGGGTGGCGTGTGGAGGGTGGCGGGTGGCTACTGTGCAAATTTATATACTCCAACATTTGCTATAGTACGTTCCAACCGTATACGTATATTGTATGTTTAATGCACACAATTTTGGGCGGGAGTAGCTATGGTCATGAAGTGAAAAGCAAAAGGTGTATGTATAGATTGTATAGTTGTAATTTAGTTTAAGTTAGCGTAGCTGTTCTATTAAACAGTTTAGATACATACGAGTCAGATGTGTTGTTCTACACACCATGGCATAAGTCAGTGAAGCGTGCTTTGTTATAAATATTTTTGTCTGATATGCTGCTCAGGTATGATTTTCTCTATTTTTTTTTTTTTGGAACTGCCATATTCTGTTATCATCATTATCATCATCATCACCATCATCAACAACAACATCATTATGATCAACATCATTGTCGTATTCATGACAGCCATCAACGTTCCTTTGTACACTACATCAACATAGTCGTCGTCGACTCAATTGTTGTTACCATTATTCTTGCCTTCTAATGTCCTTCTGCGAAATTTTCATTCATCAACCCATTGCCTTGGTGGTTGTTCTTGGTTAATGCTTCTTAATAGTTGTGTTACATTATTTTCTTATTGTACCAACAGTTTTAGTTTCAGTTTCGTACTCCTGTGTACTCCTACGCCTGCCTGTATGGCATTAGTCAGTTTTCAGTAATAATTTTTATGCTTGCATGTTAGTGCTAAGCTGGAATGCGTTCAATCTATTGTTATAGTTATTAAGAATTTTTCCATTGCCATTCTTCTCACCGTTGATATTTCACATACCAGGCATTTGAGTCTCTGCAGGATACTCGTATGGCCAAGATTATAACAAAATTGTTCACAAATATGTGTTGTGCTGTAATGCGTTTAGCTTTACCTATTTTTTTTTTATTTCTTCATTTCAAAACTTAAAGATTTCCAGATTAAGGCATTGGCGTCATCATTTCGAAACTTAAAGAATTTCGCATTTAAGCACTATCCCTTAAATCAAAAAATGCAGTAAAATTTCCATAATATAAATTTAAAATTAATTTTGATGCATGTCAGTTCTACTGAGAATTGAACAACAGTTAAAGTATATCACATCAGTCGATACTTTTACATCCAACAATAATGCCAATTTTAAACAATTAAAACGTCACTTCATGTGTGACATGTCAATCACTATAATAATTCGTTATATATTATTAATAAATCCAATCACTCCATTCACTATTTTCTCATCCATTTAACTGCATTCTACTTCTAATATAAATATTGCAGGTTTTAGCGACATTCTCAAACACTGGAATAATGAAGAGCACCGAACGTTTGCCGTCCGAATATTTGGCGAAATTGATAAGAACTCAACGGATCTGCGCCACTTTCGTAGGTGCCGACTTTGCCGATCCTAATTACAGAATTAATTGGGTAACTGCAATAATAGTGGTGACTATATTCAGCTATTTCTTCTTAAATATATTAACAGTCATAAAACTGAACAGTTGGTTGTTTCTATTGGAAGCCTTCTGCATGAGCGGCAGTGCAATAACTGGTGCCTCGAAGCTTATTATCGGCATGATTTATAGAAAACAGTTAGCAAAAATGAATAAGTTAATCGAGAACATCTATAAGGAATACGAAAAGAAAGGCGAAAAATATTATGCGGCATTGCATGAGAGTTGCGAACAAATCCGTAAATTTTTCATTATTGTGGGTTTGAGTTTCGTACTGCCGTGTGGTATAATAGTTGTGGTACCTTTTATTTTACAATCGATACATGGTAGGCGTTTTCTAATAATGCATTTTCATATACCTGGCATTGATGTTGAAACTGATTTTGGTTACTATCTCACAAACTTTTCACACTGTTTATGCATGTATGTCGGCGCTTTTGGATTATATGCCGGAGATATGATTATGATACTTTTTTTGTCACAACCATTTCTTTATGTTGATATATTAAAACTTAAAATATTTGAATTTAATGAAAAAGTGGGTGATGCCAAAGTGATGAGTTCTATGAGTTCCAATTTGTCTCTTAATGATATAGTGCTTTGGAACCAATTTTACGCCAAGTAATTTCATATATTGAAAAATATTTTCTTGTTATAACATTTAATTGTTCTCTTTAAAGCTATACGAAATCGTGTAATACAATTTTTCAGAGTGCAGTGACAATTCAAGTGTTTACCTCAGCTTTATCTATACTTTTAACTCTTTTCATTGTGTTCACATCGAGTTGGCATGGCGCTTATCCTTATCTGCTAATTACTGTTACACACTTAAATATTTATTGCTTTATGGGTACCAAAATTGAAATTGCGGTAAGTCGTACTATACTTTCATGTAGAGTTTCGAACGTTTGATGTAATAATAATAATCTATCTGACTTACATATTACAATTCACAGAACGAAAATTTTACAGCTGAGATATACAACATCCTATGGTACAAATTAACTACAACTCAACAGAAGGTAGTACTTCTTATGCTAATGCAATCACAAAACCCAAATACAATTCTTGTGGCTGGAGTGATGCCATTGTCGGTGAGCACTGGACTGCAGGTAGGGGGAAGATAATTTTATAAACAATATACAATATAATTTATTTTTCAGATAACAAAGGCCGTTTATAGCTTTCTAATGGTGATGTTACAATCAATGAATAAAAAATGAATTCATCCAAATTATTGCAAAATCAAAGTTCTAGTTATCAATAGAAGATTACACTCCGAACACGTAGATCTGTTTTTCTAACTATATTTAAGTGTGAAAATAACAGTATGCTATAATACAGCACGTAAAATATTCAAAAGCACTATTATTTTCTCTGCACTAAACTTAAAATATTATGCAAATTAAAAATTTTAGTAACTAACTTCAAAAATTGTAATTATTAATTATAATTATTTTAAATTTCTTAAAATTAATTCCTAATATGTATGTGAGAAAACATAAAATCATAAAGTAAGGAACAAGGAACACTTATTGATTTATAAAACATTTAGAAGCCAGTTTTTTAATTAGGCGTTTATTGGGATATTTGCAGAAGAAACATTGACCCATGGCCTCTAGTTTTAAAATATAGTAAATTCTTTTACTTTGGGATCTTCTTATGACTAGAAGATCACATTATGATTTCTCGGTTTAAAATACAGATTTTTTTATTTGGTGTACAGTGTACACTTAAGAAATAAATACCTAGTCCCATAGACGTTGGTTTTAAAATACAAAAGATTTTTTTCTTTAAGATCTTTTTAGTAGAACTATTCTGTATGTTTATTTTAGAATTTATTTACAATTGCCACAAAAACATGTATGTTTATTTTAGAATTTATTTACAATTTTCTATTTGTTATTTAATACTTCTATTTTTCGTATAATTGAACTTCAATGATGCTTCTACGTGCGGCGGCCACAAAAACACGATCGAGAGAGAGCAAAAAAACAAAAACGGAAAAGGAAACTAACCAAACGAAGCAATAACAACATCATTCCATGCCTTCAACTGTCAAAGCAGATAAAGGCTTGGATTTAATGTTATGACTTGCTCATTTGGTTCAGCCTTTATCGATAAGTGTACGAACATTCCGCCGACGTTGAAAGATTAGTCTTTCAAGGATCACATAAAATAGCAAGTTTTTGAACTGGACGACGAACGATCCCCTTTTTTGTCTGGATATCGGCAACACGAACCTTACCATCCTTGCCCTGGATGGTTTTTGTTACGCGACCTGTCACCCATACCATTGGTGGCATGTTTTCTTCATGAATCAAAACAAGCGTCCCAGTCTGTAAATTATTGCTAACCTTAGTCCATCGATTGCGCTGAATCAGTTCGTTGAGATACTCGTTTGACCACCTGCTCCAAAATTGTTGTTTCACTGCACTAATGCGCCGCCATCGTTCGAGGTATGACACTTCTACATTTTGATTAATGTTTGGTTCACTGATGCAGTTCATGGGACACCCAATCAAAAAATGACCTGGTGTCAAAGCTTCGAGGTCATTCGCATCCCACGACACAGGTGAAATCGGTCTGGAATTCAAGATTGCTTCGATTTCTACGAGAACGGTAGTGAGCTCTTCATATGTTAACTTGCTGTTCACCAGCGTACGATACATGTGCCCCTTTGCAGACTTCACGGCGGCCTCCCAGATACCTCCAAAATGTGGTGCTCTAGGTGGAATAAAGTTAAAGGATATTGATTTATTTGAACAGAAATTAATGACATGATTTTTATACGCTTCACTAGTAAAGCTTCGTTTAAGTTCAACCAATTTTGTATTGGCTCCTACAAAATTCGTAGCGTTATCACAATAAATTTCTGCAGGTAGTCCTTTGCGACCAATGAATCTTTTTAGCGCTGCAATAAATGCATTTGATGACAGATCTGTTACTGCTTCAATATGAACGGCTTTAGTTGTGAAACACACGAAAATTGCTATATAACATTTATAGGGCTGTTTTCCTCGAATTTTCAAATAAGTAGAAATAGGCCCACAGAAGTCAATTCCGCATTTTTCAAATGGTTTGCCTGGCGTCACACGGGAAGCAGGCAAATCTCCCATTATCTGGCTTAACAATTTTGGTTTATAACGTATGCAGCTGATACAATTATGTACGATCTTCCTAGTTAATCCTCTGGCATTGACGATCCAATATCGTTGTCGTAAAATTGAAATTAACGCCTTAGACCCGGCATGATAATTTTCAATATGATGATGTCTAGCCAAAGTCTCAACGAAATGACAATGTCTTGGTAATAAAAAAGGGTGTTTTCTTTCTTCTGAAATACTCGCATGCATAAGGCGTCCACCAACACGAAGCAATGGAAATCCATCCACCTCTTGAATAAAGGGACTAAGAGTTTTCAACGAAGTCTTAATTTCCACGTTGTTGTTTATACAATGAATTTCATTAGAGAAATGTTCGCTTTGAATGATCCAGATGATGCAATGTAAAGAATGTCGTAACTCGTCACTAGTGAAATTATGTTGATGATCAGGAACCCTTTGTTTAACTCGGTTACGCACACGAAGTAACCAACCAATAACACGAAGTACTTTAAGATATGAGCTGGTCCGATCTATGAATTGTAGCACTTGATTTGTGGGTGTTTCACATATCATAACTATTTTCCGAATTGCACCATCTACTTCTCGTTTGCATTGAGTGTTACTTATACATGAATCTGGCCATTCCTCATACTCTCGATTTAGAAATACTGGCCCTGATAACCAGTTGGATTTCAATAATTCGCTAGTTGAACATCCTCGTGATATTACGTCAGCGGGGTTAATTGACGTCGGAACATGTCTCCAAGAACAAGTTGCAGTAAGTTCTTGTACTTCAGAAATTCGATTTCCCACGAACGTTGTTAATGTGGAGGAATGGTGTTGCAACCAGTGTAATACGACAGTCGAATCTGTCCATAGAAATGTTTGGAAATGTATATTGCTAAATATCGGCGCAATTTTGCTATATAGTTGAGCTAGTGTAAGCGCTCCACAAAGTTCTAATTGAGGTAGAGTTCTTTTCTTTACCGGAGCCACCCGACTTCGTGCCGTTAATAAATTTACTGAAATATGTCCTTGTTGATTACAAACCCGCACATAAAAACAGCATCCATATGCTCGAATTGAAGCATCACAAAATCCATGTAGTTGCATGTTGATGATATCTGTTTGTAATACATATCGAGGTATTTTAATCGATTTTAAATTATTTAAGTCGTTAATGAAATTTTCGAATTTAATTCCAATTTGTTGCGGAACTACTGTATCCCAGTCTATCTTCATAATCCATAAATCTTGCAACAACACTCGTGACTTAATAATTATGGGAGCAATCAATCCCATCGGATCGAAGATAGACGACGAGATCGACAAAATTGAACGTTTGGTTAACGACGTGTATGTCTTGCTCGGATTATATGAAAATAAAAACTGGTCCTGATTTGAATCCCATTTTATGCCAAGCGTACTTGTAATTGCTGGTTCATGTAAATTTAAGTCTTTTAATTCATTGTTATTGGTGATGAACGATGGATGATTTGACTGTATTTTTGCAATTTCGATACCAGCTTTTTTTAATATTGACGTAACTTCGTATTGTGTTATTTGTAGTTCATGGAAGTCATCAGCTCCCGTTAACATATCGTCCACATAGAAATGGTTTTTTAGCACATGTGAACCCACTGGATATTCGGTTTCCCATTTTTCCGCGATATATTGAAGACTCCTTATCGCCAAGAAAGGTGACGCGGATAAACCGTAGGTTACTGTATTCAACTGAAACACGCGAATCGGATTATCTTCAGTCTCTCGCCATAAAATTTGCTGATACGAACGACAGTCAGGATGTATTCGAATCATTCTGTACATTTTTGTTATATCTCCACTTAATGCGAATCTTTTCAATCGAAAACGCATAACATGCAAATATAATTCCGATTGTATAGTTGGTCCTGTCAGAAGAATATCGTTTAATGATTTTTGACTCGTTGTACTTGATGATGCATCAAACACCACTCGTAATTTCGTGGTTGTGCTACTTGGTTTGAGTACGTAATGGTGAGGTATAAAATAATGAGGCTGTTTCAAATTTACGTTTTGCACTTCCGTCATATGATTTAACTGCTCATACTCTTTCATAAAGTTGGTATATTGATACTTTAAATCACAATTGTGGGATAAACGTCTTTCCAACGAATGAAAACGCTTTAATGCTACATTGTACGAGTCTCCGAGTAATAAAGGCGATTCTTTAAACGGTAATTGAACCTCAATTCTACCATCTGGTAAAGTGGTAGTAGTTTTTACAAATGCATCTTCACATAGTTGCTCTTCTTCGTTCCACTTCTTACGTATACTGGCTGTGTCTTGTAATAACCACAGATACTCTAAGTTTTTATTGATTGATTCGATATCAGTGTCCACTTTGGTTATATGATATGACTTATTGATAACATGTTTCGAAGAATTATACCGTCCTGACACTATCCAACCTAAAACTGTTTCTTGTAACATTGGTAAATTACGGCCCAACCTTAATTGCCCACTGCGTAACATTTCGAAGAAGCAATCAGCTCCTATTAACATGTCAATGGATTGGGAATTATGAAAGTGCTCGTCAGCTAAATTGATTTTCGACGGTAATTGCCAAGAGCGAATATCTAATGCTGAGTCAGGCTGATACCCAGACAGGCGATTAGAAATGAGAAAGTTCAAATCAAATTCTGAATCATTGAATCGCGATCGAATTGTCGTTTGAGTCTCGTACTTTAATTTCGAGGACATACACCCAACACCGACAACTTCTACTGATGTCTTTTTCTTTTGTAAGTTCAGCATATTAACGAAGGATTCAGTCATTAAGTTCACCTGTGAACATGAATCTAACAATGCTCTTCCTACTTTAAATGCACCCACCGAATCCCTTACCAGAATAATTGCTGTTGCCAAAATTACCTTGTGTGCTACAGTTTTAATATGTGCATTGATTGATGCTGATTCAACTCCATTGGATGTTGAAGGCACCATGTTTTGTCTACAGATATCTGAGCGATGTAAAAGTGTGTGATGTAGTTTGTTGCATATTTTGCAGGAATGTTTTGATGGACATTTAGCCACGATGTGTCCTTCTGATAAACAGTTTATACAAATACCCAATTTTTTAACAGTGTCAAATCTTCGCGACACATCCATTTCATTAAATCGTTTGCAACCACTTAGCCAATGGTCCCCGCTCTTACATGATACACAATTTTTATCTCGGATGCGTGTATGAAACGACGAACGGTTATTTTGGAGGGTAACGTAACCTTTTTGCTTTTGTTTTGTATTCTCTATTGTATCCGGGCTAACGGATTCTAAAAATTGACACCTTCTTTCCAAATGTTGAGAAAATTCAATCCACGTAGGTAACACTGATAAATCTAATTTTTCTTTCCATTGTCTTTGCGTTTCAGAATCGGACTTGTTCAATAGTAAATGAATCAACATTCCATCACATATGTCTTTGTCGTCTCCAAGTGATTTGAGAGAACTGAATATAGCTGATGCGCTATCAACTAAACTGCGCAAAGTAATTGATGACGCTTTGTGTACGTCTGGCAAACTATATAGATCTATAATATGTTCCATAAATATTAAAGTTTTATTATCATATCGTTCTTTTAATCTGGTCAGAGCCTTTTCGTAATTTTCTGTCGTAACCTGAAAAGAACGAATGGTATCAAGTGCTTGTCCTTCAAGACATTGAATCAAGTGGTTAAACTTTTCTATATTTGAGAGTGACTTGTCTTCGTTAACTAATTGCTTGAAAGATGATATAAAGTTTTGATACTCTGCGTATTTTCCTGTAAATTTTGGCAATTTGAGTTTTGGTAAATTGTTCGAGCTTCTGCTTGGAATATGTAACGCTAACTCTCCACGACTTCGATTAAAGTCGTCACCTAAAAGTTCAATAGCCTTTGCTTTCGCTAAAATGCAAAGTTCTTCTATTTCTGCACGAGCGTTATCTTTGTCGTTCAACGCTTCAATATCCGATTGTATTGCTAACAACTGTTTGAAATAAGTTTCGATTAAGCTTAACCTGCATTCTAATTCCGCATGTGACATCTCACATGATAACAAATTCTTTATCCTAGTAACATTGGTCTTTATCACCTTACGTTTGATGACTAGTGCACTCAATTCAGCCATATCTACAACTTTGAACGTAGTTATTAATAAACTCGAAGCTGGTTAAATGTCAATTTATTAAATTTGTATCTTATATATGTGATAAAATACAAACCAAATCCAACGTTTAGAGAACAACGAAAAAATTTTACTTTGCAGCCAACGAAACTGGTACTGCACACAAAAATATGACACGACAACCCGTCAACTTCGAGCCCCACGTTGGGCGCCAAAAAATGTATGTTTATTTTAGAATTTATTTACAATTGCCACAAAAACATGTATGTTTATTTTAGAATTTATTTACAATTTTCTATTTGTTATTTAATACTTCTATTTTTCGTATAATTGAACTTCAATGATGCTTCTACGTGCGGCGGCCACAAAAACACGATCGAGAGAGAGCAAAAAACAAAAAACGGAAAAGGAAACTAACCAAACGAAGCAATAACAACATCATTCCATGCCTTCAACTGTCAAAGCAGATAAAGGCTTGGATTTAATGTTATGACTTGCTCATTTGGTTCAGCCTTTATCGATAAGTGTACGAACATATTCTTTAATGTTTTAATAAGAATTTGTTTTTGGGTGAGAGATTTCCCTATGTTTCCAATCGATTTAAAATATGAAAAAAAGTTTATTCGGCATATTCTTGAAAGACAATTGTCTCATGGGTGCTGATTGTAAAATACATAAAAATTTTTTTCCCGAATATTCTTAGAAAAGTGGTTACCTCATGAGTTAACTTAAGTACATTTCTTAACTGTTATTGCTAGGAGATGGTGGGTACCTTAAAATCTCTTTGTAGAATTATTGTTTTAATTTGTAGCCATATGTTCTGCGCTTTCAGTAGTTTTGTGGCAGTCTTGACAGTATGGACTTCCTGCCAACCGAAAACGTTGGAGATGTACTAGAAAATGTCTGTGGCAGCTAAATATCTAAATGAGTTAATGAGTTACCACCCAATCTTAAATGTAATGTCAAATTTTTGAGAGCATTGTAAGCAAACCCTTACGCAGTGGTGTTAGGCTATGGTTTAGGGTATTATTTTGTAAAAAATGATATATTATTGCATCTCTCATGAACATGAGAATAAAAATGAGGACATGGCTTCAAAAAATCATTTAATAGTTACTATCAAAGTGTAAACGCATTTATAAATGCAGCAACGTTTCTATATTCAATACTAAATTAATGAATGATCTTACTTGGCCTTATACTATAATATTATCTAATGTTAAATACATATGTCTCTTGAACGTATAGACATTTTTCGGTTACTTTAGTACACTTTTGTATTTGGTTAACATATGTTATTTCTTATCAGTTGCCATTATTATATTACCAATTAATTTTTTGCATTTTATTTCATTTATTCATATAGTTCTTGTAATAAATAATATAACAATCAATAGATGGGACAATCAGAGTGGGTACTAACGAGTTCAAATCAACCATGTTTGCTCCTGACGCAATCCTTGATCCATATATTTTTCATTAACTGGTTGAAATCGGCTCAAAATAGCTGTGCTTCGTCTAAGCCCCTGATCTGACTTAGCACCCTCACAGAACATTCATCAGGGTTTTTACGAAAACATCGATTATTAACACTTTTTATTGGGCACGAAAGTGTGGTGGTACCTTTACGCTTTTCAGATTACATATATCGGCTACTGGTTACAATGAGTAAAAAGAATTGGTAATAATTCGCAATAATTATAAAAACCGCATGTGTTACATGCCATACATGTCTACCTAATACCTGCATTTGTTATATTGCTTTCAGTACTCCCACGCAATGATGACATCTTTTTGTATAATTAAAAAGAAAAATATATTTAAGCCATCAATCAAAACTAAAAAACTATTAATTCATATTGAACTTTATCGAAATAATAGTGCATTTTTCACACATATCCTCATTATTTATATTACAGAAAAAATTACTTCAGAACACAGTTGTTAAGCTTACTAACATGTCAGTTCCTTTTCATATTGGAATAGGTTCGTAACTTATATACCGGTAAAAAA